GTGAATTGCATACCCCACACAACCCTTCTAAAATCCTTTATTCCCGTTCATACGCTTTTCAACACCGGTCACTTAAAAGCTACTCACTCTCTACTCGGCGCCTCAATCATCAAATCATTCTCAAATAACGGCACAGGGTAAGTTGAACCCGATTTCAATTTTCTGCATCAGTGCCACTTGTGGGAGGAGGCCAAGGTAAGTGCTCCATGGCACACTTCGAAAGATTTGCGGTTATTCAAGGTCAGTGGGCAGTGCTTGTATGTAAAATGACCCAGTGGGTAGTTTACGGTTGTATATTTTTTTTCTGATTTGGTTTTTGATACTGAAGTATGTATTTGATAATTTTAGTTTGTATCTAATGTTACTTTTATAGCTATTTAATTTCTGATATATCTGAATCCTCCTGTATGTCAGGAGGATTGTCTATACTAATGAATGTAGACAGATTCAGGATTTTATTCGAAATCACTGATTTTTTTTTAAGAAAGACTTATTCGGGAGACGGAAGGGCAGAAGTAGAAAATGAAGGAGAGGGATAGGGTGAGATAAGTGAAATGAGAGAGAGAAAGAGGAAGAGAGAGAGAGAGAGAGTGTGTGAGAGAGAGAAAGAGAGAGAGAGAGAGAGAGAGAGAGAGAGAGAGAGAGAGAGAGAGAGAGAGAGAGAGAGAGAGAGAGAGAAAGCAGGAACTGACAAAAATACTGTATATATGAAGAATCAGTCACTTCATTCACAAATAAAAAAAAGTCTTAACCTCGAAACCTCAGTAAATCCTCTTGTCTTGTGAAATAAATACTTTTATTGTCTAACTTCTCTCAACAACTCATTTCACGAGATATGAAATGACAATAGCATGTTTTTTTTTTTCCATTTCCTTTGATATCACTAAAATTGTCTGTCTATTTCTACTTAATATCGTTATCTGTTGCCACAACAAATGGTTTCATGTAATCATGTCTTATCATGTCAAGCACCAAACATGAGACACAACAGATACCTTCAGCTTATCTACATAAAATCGAAGAACATCCAAACAACTGTCTGGATTTTTATTATGTTTAATCGCCACCAGATCATTAGCCACAGCATATATTGTCCTTGTTTATTACACATATATTGCTTTTCTATATAACCGAGAGCACACTTTTTCCCTCCTTTCTAAAACGTATTTATCTATTAAGTCTCTTGCATCTTTCTCTTTCTCCCTTTGCCGCAGGATGAACACAAAACAGAAACACACACGTTTTCCTAACATTACAACACTACCGAACGCTCTGTAACTCATCACGAATGTTCACATCGCATCACACGAGCAGAATCCTCCACTGAACAGTCGGATCCTTGTAACAACCGAGTGAGGGAAAGCAGAGTGCCCTGTAGGACTCCGACAGCACTCACATGCGTCCGTCCGTGTGTCGCAGGAGTGTGGCAGACGGGACGGAGTGACGGTCAATATATAGAGTCGCGACCGCGAGTCCTTATCGGCGTGCCCTTGGCGACGGCAGCTTGGGTCAGTCTTCCCGCCTTGCTCTCTCACCTGCCTGCCCCTCCTTCTCCCTCCTTCGTTCCTCTTTACGCTTACCTCGGTGTTTATCTTCTTTTTATTCTATGATTATTGGAGGGAGGAAATTTTATAATGAAGAACAAGGGAGAACGAGGACGATAAACGAGAGGAAGGGAGGACGGACTCGAATGCGTTGCCGCGTGATTGGCCGGCAAAGTGGGAGGAGAAATGTGACGTCACAGCGCTACAAGGGCGTATCCTGTAATGCGAGGGAGGGCGGGGTAGGGCCCGGTGGATCCCCAGGGGTAAGGGAGGCAAGGGAGGGCGAAGGAGGGTGGGATGGAAGGATTGATGGGGTTGGGGTGGGGGGGAGGTCCATCCCGTATGCCAAACACGCACCTTGTTGAGGTCTCCCGTCTGTGCTATGGTGTACTGTGCACTGTACTGTTAACGCCGACCTGTAATGAAACATCCTCTGCGAAATTAGTTCCACAAAACTTTTTATTTTGTCTAAGCATGCGATTCTAAGCAACAACAACAACAAAAAATACGCCGCAACAGAAGGGCCCGTTACTATAATTAGAAAGCGAGGGGTACTGTTATTAATATGGTAGGCTGGCAAGGTATGTTTAAGGTGGCCATGTGACTACGTGACCTGCCGTGTAGAAGCCTGGATGGGCATATGTGGAAGTGGAAGTACTTTCATATCCGACAGACAGACGGAATCGGGAAGGAAGTTGACGCCGACGATACTGACATAACAAAACCTATTTGATACGCGCCCAATACGCACTGAATATGCAATTGTTATTTCATGCCAGACTCTACGGTCTTCCGCAATCCTTTAACGCTGTTTTCTCTTCTCCTTCCTCTTTATCGATCCAATTTCTTCCATTTCTCTTATTATTTTTTTTCGTTCTAGATTTATCACTACTTTTGATCTCCCCCTTATATTACCAATCGTAAGACTATGAATTGCTGTGAGAATTATAGCTAAA